GCCTCATCAACCCCGTGAACATCCGAAAATTTAACCACCTGTTGAGACGAAGGTTCAAATTCGGATTGTGATCCACCTGTCTTCAGGAGTCCCGAGTTTTCCATAGCAATACTTAGGAAGGTTAATATACAGAACGCGTATGTGAAGGTGATGCCTACCCAACGCAAAGCGCGCCAAAACATATACCCTCGCGCTAACATTTATGAACACAAATTAACGTCGAGAATTTTAAGTATTGTATTAAAAAATTGCGATATTTGTACCTTCTTCAATAACAACATAAATTGGATTCTCTTTATTGCCTGCACTCGAATTTATGGTTTGCGGACCACCTTCCACTGTTATTTTTTTCCCTTGACCTTTAATAACGTTTTGTACCAAATCATTAGTGGGAATGATCCTCGTTGCTTCATACAGAATAATTTTTTTAAAAGATCAGTTTTCATGATATAGTTAAAAAATATTTTTTTTTTTTGAATATTTCGATTTTCTTACTTCCATCAACTGTAGATTGCTCCAATTTCTGCATTAATTTTGGTAATATTTTATCTGTTTGACCAGTTCTTGCCAACGCAGTCACATATGCTTGAAAGCATTCGTCATCTTGAGCAAACTTTCCACGCTCAAACCTTGAAATAATCACATTATAGTTATTTGTTCTAATCAATTCCTACGATGGGAAAAGTTTGAGAGATGAATATCATATGTATTTATATGCAGGCGCCATTATATAATTTGATAATCACCTACTTTATAGAATTCGGCTTGTTTTAACGCGTCATTGGGAAATGCGTTTGCCTCAGCCTCTAATAACTGCAACCGTCGTTGATTTAAGAATCGAATGGGGTTGTTTAATCCAAAATATCGACGATTACTTCCGAAACGCAAACCTAATCAGGATCGATCAGATTTCGTGCGATCAAACATTTGCAAACGTCTAAATTCAAAGAAACCTCTTACCTCTCCTATAAAATGCCGTATTGTCCGACACTCTTAATAAACCATTGTAACTAAACGGCAATCGGCTAGATATATCACCTATTTTTCGAATATACAATAGTGAATTTTCGTTCTTGGTGAGATTAAAGAAAAAAAAAGAATTACGAGACACACCAGAAAACTGTGATAACAGGCTTTGTGCTTCAATAGTTAGAAAGGAAGGATTCGTCTGTAGAAGCTTAATAGCATCTACTTGTAATGAAGTTGTTAGAGAACGAATGCTATGACTAATTCTTAGGCATTCTGGTAGATCTCGTATCTTTTATACCATCAAAAAATTATGAGAATCTCGAACGTTTTAAAAAAAACTAAAAAATTAAACTAAAAATTTTTCTCACCGGTAACGTGGAACGCGTAAGAATTGTAGTCGAACTTGACGTCTTGTTCTTTGGAGTGACTGAAGAAGGTGTAATTTTAACTGATTGAAGGA